GGGGGGGGGATGGGTTAGTTTCCCACTCATGCACACCAGGGGGCACGTGGGCACGAAGGACGTCTTAAAGACGCCCACCCAGAACTTGTCCAGCCATTTTTCAACGTTTGGCGGACAGGAGGTGGTTAAACCCCTAAAAGTAGAGACTCCGTAGAATAAAATGCAAGCAGTTGCAATTTTTTTATATCACATAATATTGGCAAAACTGCTTATCAAATCTGTATTTTCAGTAACAAATGCTTAAATTATTTTTACTGCAAACCCTTGAAACCATGAAAAACCTTTGTACGCAAAAGCTCATCAATTTAGAGTTAACAGTGAATGATGACTCTAGAATTATGATACCGAATGCGTGGTCCAATTATTGTTTTTGTACACAGGCGCACCTGATGTACGTTTGCAGTCGTATCTACTTGGTGACGAGGGGCTTCATTGGGTGTTTTTGTTTCAATTTTATTCAACTTTAATTTCTTTTTCTTTTTTTTTTCTTTAGCTCTATTGCTATCACATAAGCCCCCTATGTAATAATGGCATAGTGTAGGCGACGGGTTCTCTTTCAGGAGTGATTAGGAAGTGTAGCTGCAAATTTGTGAGAATGTAGAAATGATCGGTCAGCTTTAAAGCGGTCTAAATCACTTCTACTACAAACCATTCAGTGACAAAATGTACACAAACTCCCGACTCCTGAAGCTTCTGAGAGTCTGTTTATAAGTGGGTGCTTTTGGCAATGTTAGCCTTCCATCAGCGGCAGTGAAAGGGTTAACTTGTCGTATAGATGTGTGTTTAAAATATTTTATTGAAGTGTTTATTATGTATCTAATCATTAAGCCTCTTACCTCACTGCTGGTTGATAATAGAATCTGCAGTTATGAGCTGGGGAACAGAAGTTTATGAATGGCAAGAAGTTGGCGGGTTTTTTTTTTATTTTTATTTGTGTGTTTCTTGGCCACTTAATATGAGCAGCTTTAGGAACTTCCATTTAAACTTACATTTTGTATTTTTTTGGATATACCATTATAGCCTGTGGCCTTATACATAGACATGAACTACCCGAACTACCCCTGAGGATCTTAACCATTTGCTGTCCAGACCATTTTCTTACTATTTGCACACACATGATATAATCTGAATGTTTGGCTAGAACACAGCTTCAAACATCCAAACAATGCTATATTTTCTGAAAGCAGAGGACCTGCAGAACAAAAAAAATGCCAGTTGCAATTTTTTATGTTGCATGGTATATTGATTGCATGTAATATTCTAATTTTCTGAGATTGTGGATTTGGGGTTTTCATGAGCTGTAAGCCATAATCATCACAATTATGACAAATCACGGCTTGAACTATCTTTCTTTGCATGTAATGAGTCTATCTCATATATTAGTTTCACCTTTTAAGTTGCATTAGTGAAATGAACTTTTGCACAATATTCTAATTATTCGAGTTTCACCTGTATGGTCAAAGTGTAAATTCGTCAATTGATCAAGAGCTGAAAATGGTGTATTCCATGTGGGACAGAAAGGATATGTGAAAGGGTGTATTTTGAACTCTTATCACCGTACCAGTGATGATAGTCGCCAGGACAAATGAAAATGGTGAACATCCCCACTGGGAGCACAAACAGCAGTATAAATTGACGGGGGTTTCAACGCTTCCTCAAAACTATTAACTGTTCATCTAAAGTCAATGCTTATTTTATGAAGTGTTTTTAAGTTGTCCCTTTATAATCTATCAATACCATCGAGCTCAGGCTACACCACCACAGATTGAATGGCATTGATGAACACAAACTGACACTTACCAAGGTCAATTTTCCCATAAAAGGCAAAGTCGCCATTGAAAATGCTGAGTCCAATATAAGAAGCTTCTCCATATGTTCATGCTAGGAGTTGGCTGTAGGTAGGATTTTCATGGGAGTGGGTGGGGTGGGTCTTTCTGTAATTGAAAGGGAACTAGGAGGTATTGCCTTTTAGGAGGTTATCAGATTCCAAATGCTGGTTTTCTAAAGTTAGTTTGAGAATGGAATAAGCTGGTTGCTTTGGATAGTATTGTGTAATATATAGTGTATCGTCTTGTCTTTTCACTGGATACTCCTAGCTCTTCAGCTCTGTTCACAAAACCACAGGTTAAATAGTTAAGTTGAATAAACAGAGCAAAGCATTAAAGTCTATGTCCACCACAAAGTTTTCTTTCTAGTTTTGGATAGTGAGGAAGGAGTTGAACCCCTCTCCGCTTTTAACTGGACAAAAATCCATGCCACACCTGTACTTTTTTCTATGCCATCTAAAAGGTGCACGGCCTATGGCAGGGTTGGCAACACCAGTCCTCCAGCTGTTGTGGAACTAGAAGTCTCATGAGGCATTGCAAGACTGACTGTTACAGGCATAACTCCCAGAGGCATGTTGCGATTTGTAGTTAAAACACAGCTGGCGGGCCAGTGTTGCTATGGTGATGCTGTTTAATTCAAATTATTAAAATGGCCAGCACTCGCAGTTAAGAACTAGATGCTTACTAAGGTCGTAAAAAAAAAAGTACAAAGAAAAAACAAAATCACCAATGTTATGGAGGCCCCACTTTCTCAAGGTGACCGCCTTCCTTGGCCCACCTAAACCGCACGGATGAACGAATCTCCTACTGGACTATTGTATTCTGACAGCTAGTCAGTCGGAACATTTTCAGGAGAAGGATGAAGGTTGAAGACAGGGCCACCCACTAAACAATTTCTTGATGAACCATCTGAAATTCATACAGTGTATGGTCAGCTTTAATCTAGCCATACACTATTCATTTTCTGTTTAGCCCTGTAGGCTGAACGAGAAAAAAATGCTTGCGACACCCATTCATGCTAAACAGTGTGGAAAGGAGAATCCCCTCCACTTTCTCTAGGGGCTGGAATTCAGAAGATATACTCTCCTGATTCTCGGTGCTGCAGCTGTCAGCACTTGCTCCTTGCTCCCCCTGCTCCAGCTGCAGTATGTTCCTCAGCATCCTTACGTCTGATGCAGGTGAATGAACTCCATTAGAAGTGAGGATGTCAGCAGCACTTAGACCACCGGAGCCTGGGGTAAAAAGAGGGGACTGGTCTAGCAGCCAGATGAATTCAAGGATCAGGTGAGTTGTTTTTTGTCTTTTTGAGCCCCTAGACCAAAATTAAAAGTTAGCCCTTGCACTGTGGAGGTACCCCCATTGCAAAGGTTGTGGTTTTTTTTTTTTTGTAGATTCCTGGAGTTGTTCTTTAATGTATGTACATGTCACATTTTTGAACATCAATGGAAGAGTAAAGCATTGAATACATAGCTTGAATTTTAGCCAACTCCTGCTGACTCGGCTGAAATTCGAGCTGAGGGTGGCCCTGCCGGTTTGCAATTCTTTAACGACTTTTGATGAAGAAGCCAAGTGAAAAAATTGTTGGCTGAACAGTGACTACACCCAATCACCTGCAGTCACTGTTGGGATATTCTAACATTGGCAACGGCTATCCGAATACAACAGCTTGGAAGGGAAAATCTGTCTATCCGTGATGTTTAGCATGGATGGAGGAATCTGTTGGTTATCTATCTGTGTGTATGGCCACCTTTTAGCCTTTCTTCTGTATAGTTTGGAAGTTGCATTGGTCATTGGCTGGTTGGTGAACCCAAAACGCAGCACTCGTATAACAACCTACCTAAACTTAATCCTTTCAGAGTTGTGTCAGACTGATCCGCTCAATATTTTATTTTGTTTCAGTAACTGAACTAATTTTGGCACCTGGGTCAGCAGCATAAACTCTGAAGGTAACTAACGGAAATAGCACAAGCTTTGTCAGATGTGTTTATACACCGATTTGGTCTAATATAAACATACAGCACATCTGCCTAATTGCTTGTTCACCATGCACATTTTGGAGATCACTTCCTACACTTTTTTCCAAGTCAACTTTTGGAGTGTTTAGTTTGTGGGTTGTTGGACTTTGAATTTGTTGTTGGACATGAACATGTTTTGTTTAAGGAAGTTACAAACAAATTGTTTTTAGTTTTTTTTTTCCCTTTTTCTACAGATGTCCCCGGGTGTCAGTCAATGTACAAAAACATGGAGGCCTACTCAAACGTGGATGGTAAATACTTTTCTTTCATATTGTTGATATGAGAGACAGGTTAGGTAGGGGTTGAGGTTGTGTCACTTTCATCAGACATTTTGGCATGTTCCTTTTGCCTGGCATCTGTTCCAGCTTTCTCTTTTCCTTAGTGACACTAAATTCAGGAGTTACATCTTAAAAATGCATTCAAGTAGCTTAACTATTAACAAAACTGTATTTTTTATTTCTGTATCACTCAGCTGTGGATCAACAAATCATCTCTGAATTCGTGTGGACACTGTCCTTTCTTGTGGAGGGTGCCTCCTCATCATAGACTACAATCCTCAATACAAATTAATAAACTAAATATGAGATTGTAGTCCATCACAGGAGTGAGCTTGGAGTGGTGGCTACTTTACAACACACAGGGACCATGGGGAACAAAAGTAACCACCCTCCAGAAGGAAGGACAGTGTCAACATAAATTCAGAGATGAATGGAAATAAATATGCAGCGCTATGGGTCCAATTGATAACTGATATAATATATATAATATGAGAAATATTGATAAACCAATACTTCAAGTGATATGTGATAGATAACCAAACTTGTTGGATCAAAATGTGCAAAGGTGCAAAAAATATATATTGGATAAATATAAATTCCCATGCTTAATTGTTGCCTC